TTTGTGCTTTTTAAAGTTTGCGGTTTTCAAACACTTTATGCATCAATAGATAGTTTAGAGTTTAGACTATTGAGAAAATATTAGTGATAAGCAACCAAGATACGAGTCAGATAAAAGTTTACATATTTGGTGCTTTCCAACAAGAGACATAAGGGTACGGTTAACGCGATGCTACAAATGCTTTAAAGCAAGTTTTGATTGGTTAATTTGTAAAATTCTTTTTTCTAATTGGTCAACCAAATGCTTCAAAGCATTTGTAGTGAAACTTCGACCGCAGCCATGGTGTAATGTCGATATCACACTAGCGATTGGAGGTTACGTCTGCATTTGCGTTTACATTTCTCGACCAATCAGGAAGGAACTGCTGGTCAATAGTTTCGTTTTGATTGGTCAAGAGACGCAAACGCGATTGTAGACGCAATCTCCAATCGCTAGTGTAATACTGATAACATAACACAATGTTATAGTGATCATTTTATTTCTGTTTAACATTGGCAAATAATAATGATGTAATAATTCACTGTCTTATACTGTGTCACCTGTGTCTTTTCTTGAAAAGTATCCATTGTCAGTATTTACGACCTATATACTGCAAGTTCTTTTTTCTTTTACTTTTTTTTTATTTGAATAGCCTGTCCAAGGATTTTGCGCTACCATTCATTTAAATGATATTACCCAGTGAGAAATGATAATGGAATCGACATCGATTCGACATCGATTTCATTGTCATTTCCCACTGGGTTAGGTCTTTTTTTTAATTAATTTTTTATTGAACTCTGTTTCGACTGATATGTTATGGAGAAGATAACTTCAAAAAAATTAAATATTAAATAAAGTATACTTATGTACGAATATTATCTGTAAAATTATTTCTTTATTAATTGCTAAAAACATTTTTTGAATGATTTTGTTTAATTATGATATAACAATTCTACAGACAGATTATCAAATCTTCGCTCGTCTTGCAATAAGATCTAATTCAAGAATATTATTTTATGAACAGATTTTAAACAGGTTAAATATTAAATCAATTACGTGATGATTTTTTTCTCTCCTTCAAAAGTCTAAATTTCTGCAATATGTGCAACTTTTCTTAATTAGTAATGTCCGTTAATGCTAAACAATGCAACAAAGTTGTGTTTAATGGCACTCTGAGAGAGAGAGAGAGAGAGATATTATATCCTCGTTCCTTGTAGAAATTTAATTCTATACTGAAAGAAAAGATTAGCTGCTGCAGCAAATTAGATGGTAAAATATGATATAGCATGTTTAGTTGACTGCAGGAGCCAATTTTTGGTTGCATTAGCCTGTCTGCAATGTTAGTATAAGATTTCGATAGGCTAACGCAACCAAAAATTGGCTGCTACAGCCAATTAAAAATGCTATGTCATATTCAGCCAATCTTTTCTTTCAGTGATATTATAGTATTTGGCCAATTAATCATTCATTTCGCTAACATTACTTTTAATACTGAAAATAAGTGATTAATTGATTAACACTAGCATTAAATTTCTATAAGGGGTAAGGTTGCTTTGTCGGAAATAAATTAGAAGTTATCATTTATATTTAAATGATGATTTAATATGATAATTTTTGCTCCAAAGTACGAATCTCTATGCTGTGTTTTGTTCAGGATCGAATTCGGTTTCGGCAATCCATCCTTCGTCTCGATATGGGTAGAGCGGCTACATATTTCACGTGATTTCTAAAAAGGATGGGGTGAAAGTTCGATTCTGATTGCGTATGCCGTCAATTGATATGACTTAAACGTTGTACTTTTTGATTATCGTCTACGCCTCTCTCGATGACGGATGATGAGAATGTACGGTTAACGCGGTTTCGTTGTAAAATTACATCAAAGGAACGAGCGATTTTCACGCTTAAGCAAGCACCGACATGCTGACTGAATAAATGTACAAATATTATACTTCGATGATCGTTTCTTACACGCCCATCATTTGATTTGTTTTTTTATGTAGCATCTCTACCCATTTTTTCACATAACAAATAAGTTAAAAGAGTTTATGATACACGTATCAGCTTTGGTCTGAATCGAACATGAGTACATTCTGCGAGCAAACAGCCGCGGGATCTCGTTTGAAATTATCATTCATTATCGACAGATTTTAATACGTTGTAATGTACACATGCCCGATTTAATCCAATTGTAAACGCCGACGATGTTCGTGGAATTTTGTCAGCTCCTTTCGCGTACGAGTTCACGTTTCCTTGGACCAACGACGATTTCGCATGTTCAATTTACCGTCATGCGATTATATATTATATATATTTTGCTCTCTGGCTAACATCTTCGCGAATGATATTGATGCGCACTTTAATAAAAAAAATAAAAATAAAAATAAAACATTGGCTGCAGTCAGCAGAAAAAGTAGTTTTACAATTGCTGTCAGATTTTTTAAAATGATTGTCTAATAACACCAACTAATAGTAACATAACATCAATATTATAATTTCACATTTAACAATATAAATATAATATAACACACACGTACGTAACAGTTATATTGTTGAGTGTAAAATTATAAAATTGATTATATTACTGTTATTTTGTGTTTCCTGAATGCTTCTTGTCCTTAATTCCTCGCTGGATCTAAATATATAAACCAATCATATTAAAGAATTTCAAAGCAGTCGTAAAGCTGCTTTTTCTGCTAAACGCAGACCATTAAATGCATGACTAGATAAAATGACAAACGATGTCGAAGAATGGTAAATGAATATTAAAGAAATAATGTTTATACACATATAACAGGTTTTAAATTACATATATGTTTTGTCACTTAATATACTATCTGCAAACCATAAGGGAACTAATTTTCTTTGGTATAGATATTTGGCAAAGAATCATTGAGAGACTGACGCTTAACTTAAACGCAAGCATTTGAATTGATAAAATTCATCCAAGGATGCGCGTGTATTCTTTGCGGCAACACGATAACGGTAAACAGATTCATGCGAATTTTCTCACGGACGCACACCCTGTACTAACGTAATGCATTATACTGTATGTACAACGTTCTTACAATAATCTTTTTTTTTTCTTTTCTGAGCGCACCCCGTCGGCCGCGAATTAGAGTCCGTAGTGCAATCATTACGTCAGAGTCGCCTTTGTATGGCGGCGCGTAAATAATCACTGATTGTTACGTGTTGTTTAGGCATTGCACTAGAAAAGTTGCAACGGTGTCTTATTTAGACTTGTTTAGGTATTGCACTTTGTTAAGACAACCGTATCGCATGATTTCGGTGTTTAATCTGTCCAAACGCGTTATATTACTCGCGTAAATATGTCTCGTGTCTCTCTCTAATTGCTTTTTAATTACTTAACAAATATAAAGAAATCGCTGTATTATATAAATATTACATTAAAATAATAAAAATTAAAAATTAAAAAGTAAAATTGAAAAGGTTGTTGTTTGAATACATGGGAAAATCTTTTTCTTCATTAAATTTTTCTATAACAGGAAACTTTAATGATTACACAAAGCTTGTTTAAACGTTTTCTAAATAAAATAATCTTTTCCTAGTAAAAAGAATACTCATTTTTAATAAATTCTGCGAAAGAAACGGAAGGAATGAATGAAAGAAACTACTTTGCTAAAGTATTTAAAAATTTAGGTAGATATAGGGACCTTCTCGAAAAATATCACATATGAAAATACTATAGTATACGAAAATACACTATAGTTATGTAATATATTACAGATTTTTGCATGTGATATAAATTCGAATCCAGATCTGAAAATAATTTTGTTGAATTATCAAAATAATCATGTATGGCGCTTATAATGATAATACTGCAACAAGTTTTAATATTCTAGCAACCAGCTTGAGCGTCCTACATAATTATTTTAATGATTCAGCAAAATTATTTTTAATCTATCTAAATTTTTAGATATTTTAGCCATTCTTTCCGTGTATATATACATCGCTAAACAGATGTCTGCGTCTGTTGTTCATCCGTTACTACTTATGTGATTGTTGTCTACTACTTATGTTCGATTATAAAGCTATGTCACTACTGACGACCCGACAGTGATCTAGACTGTTGTACATAACTCATTAATAGTTGGTCAGTGAAAATAAAAAACTTTACAGTTTACTTCCTTTAAATTCAATATAAATATATCTATGAGTGGTTTTCGCACAAAATTTGTATTTTTATAATTGCCAGATGTACATCAGAAAACATGATCCGACATTTAAGTTCACAAATAAAATTTAGTTAGACTCGAATGTAACTCACTCATTTAAATTAATGTTATCTCTTTCAAAGTAGGCTTCTCCTACACACTATAAACATCTCATGTTTCCACGTTTAGAAGCACTCTTGAAACTCTTCAATTGAAATGTGTACCTACCGGTAGAGATGTCAGTTGAAAGTTCTTTCAACTCAATAAATGTTTGTATCATTTTGAAACAACATCACGCGCTATTGTTTCTCCTTTCTGCAAATGTCTTTCAACAATTTTATAATTTTTCTTTATTATTAAATTTATTAATGAGAAATTTGATATTGATATTCTCTGTTTTTCAAAAGTATTACTTGATATTTTTGACGCAGAATCGAGAAATAACTTATTAAATAAAAGAAACAATTGATGAGCGTTGTCGAACACTATCAAAACGAAGTGTACATTGAATATAAGAAAGGCAACATGTTGATTGCATGTTTAATTATAGTTCCCCAAGTGCGGGAGAAAAAGACGCTACAAAACTTATTGTCATACTACTTACTCTGCTACCCGCATTTGAATCGTTGGAAATGTGACGATCGCTTTTGTAATCCATTGCGAAAGGATAATGTTGCAAGCAATATAACGCGATATGGACAGATTCGTGCAAGTACCTGAAACAATTTGCGATCCGAGCCTGCGGGGGCGGGATAAGGGGCCGAGTGGTGCGCAATTTACGATTTCACATGCTGCCGACGGCGGTGGTGACGACGACGGTGGCAGATGCGGCTCCGTACTTTTTTTTCGGTAGAAACATTTCAACGCGGTGTGCCCAGAGCACCCCAGTGCTCGGCGGCGGGTCATGCGTAATGCGGATAGGTGCCGAGATGAGGTGGCACGTGTCCGGAGGCCGTGTGATGGCCGGCATACAAGTTGGCGCCCGGGCTCGTCGACCAGTAGCTCGATGCCGATTGGAAGAGGCCACCGGGAACGGAAACCGAGACCGACGCCGCCGGCGGCGGCATCAGGTTCAACTTCGCGTGACCGTAACCGGACATGAAGAGCTCGCTCTGGTATTTGTACGCCGCCGGATCGGCCGCCGCCGGCCGCGGT